CTTTGTGGATGTTCGTAGAATAAACTCGGAGAGCTCTATCTACTGACAATGTCAGCTCCAGATTTGGGGGTCTTCATGGGTCTTCGCGTATTTTACAAATACCCGGGAGAAACTATAGGAACAGAATGAGTGTTATTGTTCGATCTAATAAAATACATACCAACACATCGGCCTCTCGAGCATACATTGGTTTTGCAATGAGATCGATCTCTGCACATCTTGCCGCTGTTACACTTCTTTCCTATTGCTGCACAAATACCGCCACAGTCAACATCGGTCTCATCTTGATTTTTCTTGTTGTCCATGCATGTTCCGCCTAGAATTGCAAAAATTTTGTCAGACACATAATTTAGGAGTGTAGGTAAGTGAAGAAATTATCTAGTTCGATTTTATACTCTTTGAAATTTCTTTGTAAGAAACATTCATGTTGTAGTCTTTGTGATATCTTCTTTTCGTCAAGTCAATCCTCACTGAATTATAATGTTGCCGCTTTGTAAAGTGAAATTATATTGACATGAGAAAGTTGTCTAAGAATATTTTGTTATAATCACATGTATCCCATCATTTGTCTGAAGCAGTAGATTATTTAGTAAGGTGAGGTTATCGTTGATGGGATTCGGCTGTCTTCTTCAACGCTTGGCTATATGAGTGGTCTGATGAACTTGCTTTTTCCAAGTAAACTGAGTTCTTTTTCTCAGACTTCCTATGTTGATCAGTTTAGAATTTTAGAGCGAGAACTGGTTATAAAGTCAAACTTTCGTAGGCGGACATTACATGCCGAAGTAGATGCCAAGGAATCGAATAATCTCTACGAATGTGTCTTACAGCCCATTACATGCCTGGAGTAGGAATTATTTGCTAATCTATTTATCTCTGTTTTTATAGCAAGTAAATCTTTTAATCGTTTTCAATTTCCAGATGTTGCACATCGAAGATTGTGATAGCATCTTAGGTGAAACGTTCTTAGGAAAACAATATAACATTTGATATGAGAAAGTTATTTGTGGGGTTTTGCGATTTTATTTTCGCGAATGAGGTTCTCAAAATAAGGTCACATCTATTAATGCTGTTTTAGGAAAGAAATAGCTTAATAAAAGGTTTGATTCGACTGTTATAATGTGAGAAGGATGAAGTAGCTCAGGTTGGCATACTGACAGATCCCGCGCACACTGGTCTAAAGATTGAGAACAGTAGTTGTATTGATGAGGAAATACCCCTACCGTTTGCAGCTCTAGTTCATTTTCTGTGGCTGAGTGTCCATGACATCACACTTATTTTTGACTTTTACAATTTGAAAAATACCTATTCGAAAGAGGCCTAATTAGTTTTAGAGTCTCTTGAGTAAATGAATAAAATTCAAAAACAGTACTCCAGCTCTAGAAAAAAATCCTAGATGGGAACCTGAGAACTCTTAAACAAAATCCTGATCTAAACTTGGCAACATTCTGACTAATTCTTCTAGAGTTTCTTCAAGAAAGATCAAAACAGAAACTAGGAAACTCACTGATTGAATTGTGTTGTTCTGAGTAGACTTAATGCATGTTTACTAGAGTTAAAAATAAAGCTGTACCTTATTCAGAAAACTTCAAAGATCATTAGAACGACAATAGATGGATGAAAATCTTTATTTAGTGAACACATGCTGCTGCTAAGAGCAACTCCTAGCTCGGCTTAGATTATCTCGAATAAACACTTTGCAATCCTTAGACAATGTATGTCATGCGGATATTACTTTACTCGAACGAAGCGATAAATCTACTATCAGATAATTTTTTTTTGGCATCTAAAGAATTGAATCTTTTTTGGTAGTGTCCAAGTGAACACAACAGGATAGAGTTGTAACCGGTAACACTAAAGAATCGGTCCTGTGGAGGATTCTTTACCGACCTGTACACATTATTTTGGGTTTTTGATGCTTTCTTCACAACTCAAACACTTTTTACTGATTCCAAAGACTATTTCTCTGAGAAAATCTACAGCAGACTATTCTATTTAGCCGGAGTTCATTATGATATATTTATCAGATTTTATCGATTCACTGTCATATCAACTTATATTATCAAAACAAAGTTGCATAATTGTTAAGGATTGTGATTTATCATAGATTAACTAATATTTCACACAAACATGGAAAGTAGATTTAATGCATAATTAATAAATAAAGTTCATGCTAGATGAACAGTTAATGAATGTGGAAAGCTAAAACATAATTGTTGTCCTATAAAATTTTCCATTCATCAATAGATACCAAGACACAAAAAAGCTCACGAAAATAAATAGTAAAAAGCAGTAAAAATGATTTTATATTATTACTTTACTGGAGTAGTTGATTCGACTGTTATGAGATAAGAAAAATGAAGAATGACTCGTGAGGGAATTTCGACCAATTCATTCCGGTATAACCACTTGAAATGGTGACGGTTACGCTATGGAAAGACCCTACTGGCTTCAACCCTAATATGCAGATTAGTGACTTTCGCAACACTTTATTGATTAACTTTTATGAGTTAATGTCACTTAACATCTTATATACAACGCAAAAAAAACTAAAAATACTTTTTGTATTGAATATTTTACAATATAATGCAAAGTTAATAGAAAAAAAAATGAAAATACATCACATTTCAATGGAATGTATGGATAATGTTGAGTTCATAAGTGGCAACCTATTACGGAAATGATTCAATAGTGACAAAGTTCTCAGAAAACAAACAACTAAATCAATTCATGAATAAATATTTTTACTCAGTAATCATTTTTATTCCTAATCAAATTCAATGTGAAAAAAAGTGTTTACGAAAATAATGTGATCATGATCCATGGCCACTGAAGTTTAGCGTATTGCTAACAAGTTGAGAATGGCATCTCATAATATCTTATAAATGGCTTTTATATGAAACACGATATACTATCAAGACATTTCTACTAAGTTGAAACATATGCACATTCTCATATATTGGTTTAAGATATTAACAGAAGTTGAGGTATTCAATATTCTTTAAATATTAGACTTAACTCGTTGATCAAACTATACGATCGAATATTATCTCAAGATAAAATTATAGAGCATCCCGATTCTTTTACTCTTGCTACTAATTTAAGTTCTTGAAACTGAATAACGAAAATATTAGTATTGACGCATACAAAAATCTATGGAACATAAAGATATTTTACCTTTTGAATGATCATCGCGCCGTGATCGTAGTAAAGAATTTAATGAAGAATCAGTGGTTCTCTTGCATTTGGTCAACATAAGTTCACTGGAACTTCCATCGTTAAATTCGAATTTCAGCGAAACACTTAAAATATGTGCAGCAATACGAGCTTTGATACCATTAGCAAAATTGTCTTTGCAAGGCTTATATGCGGCACAGCTTTCTGGGTAGACTATATAGAAATTCATTTCTACAATTGAGCGGCCAGATCTTAACTGATCACATCTAGGTCTGAAAAAGAGTTAGACACGTATTGAGAATAGATGCACGAAAACAAAATCATGCAAAATGAAGACGTACATTCCACGTTTTCCCTCATGAAGTTGACGACGACGACGACGATGATCATTAACATTTCTTTCACCATTATAGATCACAATAGTTTCGATACGAATTGAGCCTGGTTTAATATCATAGGCTACTTCTAACTAGAATTTCATTCAATCAAATTAGTTTAGACATCTATGATAATTAATTGAAACATAATTACTTGTCGAGCAATTTCAGCAGCATTCATGACTGTCGTGCTTTGATCTTTGTTTGGCATCCAATTCGAGGAGAAGCTTTGCGTTATTTCATCAGATTCTACAATATAAAGTGAATAATTAAAGTGAACAGTTGTTTCTCAGATCTTTTTTTTCGAAAGAAACTAAATTACTATTTGGAAAACATGCTCGAAGATAATTGACATACAACAACAATGATTTACGAATATCGAACAACATTCGGTAAAAGAGAAATACTTTCAATCTTGTCTTTATCGTTACAGTTTTAGGTAATATGTGCTAAAAGTCATTTCTACAAGATGATGCTTTCTTACGAGAGTTTGGAAAACTTTAAACTTCTCACTTTATTCACTTGTAGACATCAATTACATTTACAGGTGACATCGACTCTGGTGTTGTTATCTTGCTCAGTTTTTCATGCTGTTAGTGATATACAATATTCAGCAACAAATATAACATATCAAGAAAAACTTGATCCATCAATGATCTCTATTAATCTGTTCTTGGTGTTGATTTTGAGAAATTTAAGACTAGTCTTTGATTCTATTATGATAACACTGTCATTCTAACAACTTGGATCAAGCTCTTCGGTAAATAAGAATAATACTTGCCTATTTTTTTCGGTTCAGGATCAGCACTTTATCTTTCTAATCTTCAGACTACTAAGCATGTCATTGTACACTACGAATCATGCTCTATCTATCAAAATTACATAATCTTTTGATATTTATCTATTCGAATGTAACAGAATCTTATATGTTTCAACAAACTTATGTATCACCACCTGTTATAATCGATTCGAATACCATCCAACTACACAGAGGACCAGAATAAAGTTTTGACTCTACTTCTCACCTTGTGCAACGTCAGATTGTGCATATGTGTGAAGTTATTCTCGTGTCATGGTCTCTTCTCAATTATATTTCGCATGAAGGCTTCTTACAACTTTCTGATGAAAGAAATAGATTGGACTGGCAATAGTTGTTGAAAAACAACTCAAAAGTTAAAATTTGAAAGAATATGTCTGAATGTACCAATGATGTAGTGTTAAAAGAAAATCGCTTGATTATTGATTTTCTTTTTTTGTTAAATTTACAGATCTTTCACATGCAAAAAAATCATACTTTTCGATTTTGACCTGTCTCCCATTTTATCCATAGGAATCTTGTTGGTACATTATTTTTTTCAAGGTAATGATCTCATCAAAAGTGATCTATATCTTTGACTGCTCTGCTTCAGTGGAGACAGCAAAAAGTAATAGAAGCATCAGCATTTTCAGCACTATTCTCAAGATATTAAGAAATATCATTCAATTTAATATACAACAGCTTAAATTTGACAATTTCCTTAATCTTTGAATATGAGTTTTCGTATATCGTGCAATTGACAGAACATTTCGTAAATTAAACTTACGATCGTCCTTAAACCTTCGAATAAACGACTGATGAAGTGTTGCTGATTCAATATCAGAGTGTTTTGAAGTAACATTATCTCACGGTCAAGGACTCGATAGAAAAAGCTCTAGAAGACATTTTTACAATGGCCTGATAGATCTAATCGTATTTGAAATATCTTACAAAGGAGTCCATGGAAAGTCTTGATCTTTTGGAATAGTTATTCGTTGTATCTATATTTCGACTATCTAGGATTATATGGTCCTAATGTCAATCGAAAAATGATGGAACGACTTTTGTCAAGCATTATGATGCATTGAAAATTCCAGTCTTCGTGAATAAACTCTTTCTTTATTGATTCTTTCCCGAAATCATTTAACAGTTTATCTAGAAAATTCAACTCTCTTCAGGATCAAACATTATGTCGACGAAAGAATTACATTTTATACAACTTTTTGTCCATTATGAAGACGATTAAAGATCGTTTTTTATTTGAAAAAAATTTGTAGGTGACTACCATCATTCAATTTCTGTGAACAACTGTTATCATAAACAAAAAAAATGATAAACTGCTTATTAATTAAGAAGGAAGACCTAACGAGGTGATTGATGAGTTGAGTTTCATGAAAGAAGATTCTTATTATTTGCGGATCTTCCTGTAGCAGCTTATCTTATTGCTTGATACTCAATCAACGGAACAAAACATGCATCATTGCAATTTTCTATTGATTCTAAATTTGTTCTATTTAATGTGATCTAAATGATTTTGATGTTGCAAGTCTTATGATTGATTTCAGTTGAAAAAGAGTGACAATCGAGATAAACGAAATAAAAAAGCAAATTCTTCGGTGCAAAATGCACTATATCGACACATTCAATAATTCAAATGTGAATTAGCACGATACTAGTTTTATTTTTCAATTATATATATATATATATATCATTCAGACTATGGTACAGAAGAATCTGTTTATAGAATTTAAAAACCTTATCAATCATCCGTGAAATAATATTATATGTTCTTCAGGAACAGAAGATATAAGTGAACTTTTTATTCGATCCCAAAAAAGTTGATGAATAGTACTTATACTAAACGTTGACTGAATTTTCTCATGTTTTTATGAAAAAATTCCAAAAAATATCTTGATATTTTCCGATTTAAGATCCAATCAGTGACAAAATTGACATTGACAATTTTGTCTAGAAATAATTAGCATCTCGATTTGTGTGAACTCTAGAAGTTTGATACAGTTTAGATTAAGTCATGTGTATTGTCATAGATTTACCATCAAAATAATCTGTATAAAATACTGTTGTACATATTGAAACGTAAAACTCGTTCATGGACAACTGTAGCTCTGAGTTAGATGAATTGTTATTAAGATTGATGAAAATAAATCACTCAGGTTATCAAACAGGTTTCTATACGTTCAGTCCTCCATGAAACACATACATAAAATTTTTTAAAAGTCAGGTACGACCTCAGAGATCTTATCAAACGTAAGCTTGTCACTTCTCAACAACTGTCTAAATAGCTGTTGTCCGACATAAAATATTTCGGATAATGAAGATCATCTTTTTTGATAGAGAAATCTAATGAATAGAATAATGACATTGGATAATTTCAGCTTGGTCGCTATCAGAAATTTATAGAAAATTGGAAATTTTCTATGATGAACAGTGTCCAATATCCAAAATAAGAAAATTTTATTTATCGAAAGCATAATTAAAAGATAATATTCATCTTAATTTGGATAAAAGGTAACCTTTTTCTTTTAATAATCGACTATTTATTAACGATAAAATGAGAAAAAGTGGATTTGAAACAATAAAAATTTCCATTAAGCAAGCTCAATACTTTTAACCATCTTGAATGAAACCTTTTTTTTTGCAACATTCATAGTGCGCTTTTCTAAGAAGGTTTTCTTTACTATAAGTATCTGTTAGCGAAAAACTGGATTTGCGACTATTTGGGTCTTCTCACACTATTTCTAAAACTTTCACAATGATGTCTCAGCAAACCACATGATCTACTGCTTAGTTGAAAGAAAAAAGTGACAAACCTGTGCTGTAACTCATCAAACCATTTGTATTCATGTTTCGAATATATGCAGCTATTAATAACAGTATGACCGCAACGGAAATTCCAAGCAAAACCAGCCAAAGAAACATTCCAATGGACAAGGAGATCCATTTAGTATGCTTCTCTCTGAAATAAAAACACAGAAAAAAAGTGTATCATTCATATTTGGCTAATAAAAAGTGAAAGCGCTATTAATGTTGAGTTGGCGAGATAAGATCCTCGAATGAAAAATAGCTTTTGACCATGACTCTGTTCATTTTATCGTTCATAGTGATAAGCATGAAATTCCCAAATTACCTTACACGTGTGGCCTTTTGGTGCTGAGCTGTGAGCGTTACTTGACTTGCTTCTCAAGTCGTTCTAAAGCAATTTGGCAAAGTGAGTGAATTGTTCTTTATCTGAAAATTTGCATATGAGTTCGTCTCATCTTTTCCAAAGTTTCTCAAATGTTACCATCACAACGCATATTTTTCATCTTGAAATATTAAGTTCTTTAAGAATTCATATTTTATACAAAAATTGGAAACATTTGGTCTGTTTGAGAAATCAATATTTCGAAGAAGCCTTTGTCCGACTGAAGTTCAAGGTAAAATCTGCTATCAATAAGACTAACATGGGTGCAAAACTGCAGAAAGAAAGTACGACAGTTGATTTTATTCAGAAGAGCTTTAGAAGATGTTGAGAAATGATCAAAGTAACGCTCATAACTCAATTTCCAATGCTCTTAATTTCAATTGAAGTTACAGCATTATAGAGATGGCTACGACCGATTTAATGATTACAGCATCGATTAAAGAGAGAGTTTGCACTTAGAAATATTTTCTTGTTATCATTACTCAATTAGCATGTTAGACGTAGTAGTGATGAACGCAGCATCAGCAAACTTACGGCCGTTTCTTTGTATCAATATGTTTTTCATTTAATATTTCCATTGGTAATTTGGCGATATTGACGACACTCAATCGTCAGAAACTTTGGAATCGAAGTTATGAACTTGATTGCTAAAATATATGATTCAAAAGATGGAGTAAATGTTGAATTGGCTCGAATAAACTTGAGCTGTGATTTATAAAAATATTGACACACGCAATGGCGAAGTCATGATTTTTTTGTTGTTTGGCCATTGCTCAGTTGAGCTCTTTTGGTGACTGAGCAATCATCGAAGATTGAAAGACTCACTAGACTATATTTTCTTCGTTGATTCCTTACAGTTTGGTTAGCCAGTATATATCTATTAGATATTTCAAGTTAAAAGTCAGTACCAGTATTTCGTCAATGTCTTTTCCTGTTTTTTGCTTCTTAAGGTAGGAAGAAATTTTTTAAGAATCTCTTCTTTAATTCTCATTAAGAATACCTTAAAACAATTGATATTAAATAGTAAGTGGAAAAATCGAAGTAAATGTGTTTTAAAACTACAATACAAAAATGGTTTGCACAAATGAGAAACTTTTCTTTTTCTTTTTTGTTGCAATACGTAAAATCTGTTTTAACGAAGGTTCGTCTTAACTCATGAAGAAGTTTTTTCAAATGTATC